TTGCTCTGTCTTCAAAGAAGTGGGAGTATGCCAGTGAAGTATAAAAATTTTTTTTTTATTATTATTAAAAGGCACTAATAAGCCTATATCAAAAAATCAATAGTTAAAAGTATACAAATAATACTGCATCTAACGCGTTTCGTCCATACGCGTTTCGTCCGTACATATTTGTATACTTTTAACTATTGATTTTTTGATATAGGCTTATTAGTGCCTTTTAATAATAATAAAAAAAATTTTTATACTTCACTGGCATACTCCCACTTCTTTGAAGACAGAGCAACCTATTCGTGGAGGGTGAATACCACTGCAGCCCTTGAGGGCTTAAAGGCGCATTATCCATCACTATTTTGTGAGTGCAATCATTGAAGTTTATATTTTATTATTGTGACGGTACTTCACTATGTACTATGTATTCTTATGTTTTTTAGTCATTCAGCTGTATCCCTATTTTGTCCATTTACATATCTCCATTTGAGGTTCGTTTGGGGGAAACCTCTTGGGAAGCTGCATTCATCTCATACCAAGTTAAGTACTCGTGTATATTCCTACCACTGTGTTGGTTAGGTACATTTGTATTTCTTGCGTTTGTATTTTTTTTTCTTTTTCTTTCAACACATTTGTATAAGATATGTCATACACCTTTTTTGCACTGGATTTTTATTTTCACTGTATCTTATTCTACTGGTATATATAGTTTTCTATAGATACTGTGGTATTTATTGGCAGACTTACTGTGATATTAAGAAATAACATCACAGTAAATTTGCCAATTAATAAATAACTTAATATGCCCATTAATAATATACCATATTAACTTTGCCTGTTAATAAGTATCACATTACGTTTGCTCCTTAATAAACAAGCATACTTACTGTGGTATTTGTTAATAGGCAAACATACTGTGGTATTTATTAAATGGAAAACCTACTGAATTTATTACTGGGCACCTGTCTTGACATAGGTTAAATGGGCCTACTGACTGTGGCATGTTCTGTGGGGCAACATGACCCTGTTCTGTGTATGCATTTTATGACTCCTATGTTGTGGAGCACAGGGATGTTTTATTTATCCACCTTCCCGCTCCCGCTAGTGTTCCTCAACCTTTTTTCACCCACATAAGTTATCTCAAATCAGAGAAGGCAGTGGTTTTCTTGTGAACTTGAATTTCTTTCAAAAATTGGTTAATTCTTAACATCAATATTTTGACTTTAATCAGTATCCTGATGAAATTGCAAATATGGACTTTAATTTTAAGAATTAGCCCCCTTTTTTTTTTTTAGAGAAATTAGAGTTCACAAGAAGACCACTGAGCGCTCTCTTTTGAGGTAACATATTGCTGGGAGGCTAGAGGTACACCTTGACAAGACATATACAAAAGTGACTCACTTTTCTAAAGTCCCTGCAAAAAAAAAGTTTTCCTTTAAAATTGATTTTCTTTCAAGGTGTGTGTGTGTGTGTGTGTGTGTGTGTGTGTGTATATATATATATATATATATATATATATATATATATACACACCCTGTTCCATAATTATTATGCAGATTATATTTTTCTCATTTACCTAAATAATTGATGTAAATAACAGTCAGCATAACTGTCATGTTATCAACTATTAAGGCCGACCAGCTCTTTTCCCATGATTCCGGCCCAAAACATAACTCCACCACTGCCTTGCTGACGTCGCAGCCTTGTTGGAACAGGGTTGCCATCCACCAACCATCCACTACTCCATCCATCTGGACCATTTAGGGATGCACGGCACTCATCAGTGAACAGGACTGTTTGAAAATTAGTCTTCATGCATTTTTCTGCCCAATGCAGCCGTTTCTGCTTGTGAGCATTGGTTAGTGGTGGCCGAATAGAAGGTTTATGCACAGTTGCAAGACTCTGGAGGACCCTACACCTTGATGTCCGTGGGACTCCAGAGGCAAATATCTGTTTGCTGCTATGTAATGGTATTTTAGCAGCTGCTCTCTTGATCCGATGCATGGATCTGACAGAAATCTTCCTCAATGTGCGATGATCAAGCTTAAGTTTTAATGAAATATCTAATGTTTTCATACCTCGTCCAAGGCATTGAACTATTTCACTCTTTTCAGCAGCAGATACATTCTTTTTCTTCCCCATATTGCATGAAAATAGTGCTCTGCCTAATAATGTGGAACACCCTCCTTTAGTAGTTTTTCCTTAAATTGGGCTCACCTGGCAATCTAATTATCACAGGTGTCTGAGATTGTTTTCAGTGATCAAAAGAGCCATGAGACACAATGCCATCCATGAGTTAAACTGAAAAACAAAATATTTAATCTTTGTGACACTTAAATAGAATTTGCATAATAATTTTGAACAGGGTGTATGTTTGTATACATACATATGAATGTGTGTGTGTGTGTGTGTGTGTGTATATATATATTTTATATATATACACACACAGCCAAAAGAGATCAGCAATCCCAGAATTTTTAAAAAAAATCAAAAACATCTTCATTCCAACGGTAAACGTTTCAGTTCCACTGGGGAACTTTCATCAGGACAGAAGGTATTCTGTCCTGATGAAAGTTTCCCAGTGGAACTGAAACGTTGACTGTTGGAATAAAGATAAGTTTTTGATTTTTTTGAAAAAATCCTGGGAGTGCTGATCTCTTTTGGCTGTATCTATTTAGTGCAATCGAGCACCGGGTCTATTTAAATGTAAGTTGGAATGCAAGGTCTTTTTTCTATATTTATTTATATATATATATATATATATATATATATACACACACACACACATTAAAGAAGAGGAGTCAAAAGTGGTAATACAATAATTTAATTATAAAAGCAAGTGAGAGAAGCAGAGGCAGCCTAGGTTGTTGGGAGCAGTCATGGGAGATGCAGAGGAGAATAAACCAATGTATTTGCAGGGGAAGGATAGGGAAAACCAGAAAAAAATTAAGAGAATGTAACAACCTATAAACAGCGTCAGTTGTGTTCACATTGTGGATGAAGAGGAATAAACATCTGAGTGCATTCTACCCGCAGATATCTATTCATCAGCATTATCATCCCTTCTGAGAAGACCCTGCGCAAATAGTTTATGAATAAGTTTATCCACATCAGCAATGGTTATGCCCAAATTATGGGTAGCTTGGGCGCACATTAGAATGCACACTTCCTCCCTTATCTCCATAAAGTGTTACATATTTTGCTCCAAGGAAACAATTACTGTTGTAAATTTCCTAACACCCAATGTTTTACATGGAGCGTACCTCAGTTATTATGTTCTCATTGATTCTCCTTATTCTGCTGTATGGATGTCTCCAGTTGAGCTTGTCGAGCCTAGATCATCTTATACAGTGCAGCCAACTGTGGAGGAAGTTGTGGCAATGTCATTTTTTTTTTAAAATCTTTATTTTTGCAATGGCAGATCATATGGTAAAGTAACATTGTTAGGCTTATGCAAAAGCTGTATGATAGTACATATATCAATTATATATTACAGAAAGGAAAAGAAAGTCAAGAGTTGTTTTGTTGAGGTTTTTCTTCCTGTTGTTGTGGTTGACATGGTCGCTCTCTGCCAGAGTTTAGTTTAGAAGAACAATAACATAAAACAAACAAATAACCTTGGGGAGTGTTGCTTTCAACATGTTGTGTTGGAGTGGGGTTGTGTTTGTTGCAGTGTTATTCAAGGGCTTTGTTAGCGTGTTTTTATCATAGGGTGTGACGTGTGTGGGGTGTGATCAGCGTCTGAGTGTGTTGAGTTGGTAGAGGACCATGTAGAGCAATGAAAGAGTGATTATATAGTCAGCGTTACACGTCAGAATGACATTTTGTATTGGGTGTCATAAAAATTTAGCTGCTTTACTACATTTAACAGTTTTGCTCTAGGTATGTTTATCTAATAATTGTGTGCTTTTTATGTCTACCTTGCTTTGATTGTTCTGCGACCCCTGAATCTATATAGGTTTGCCTTTCCCCCCTCCCTCCCCTCAGATTTTTCCAAGGTCAATAACTATTTACAATTACCGGTCCACTGGACATCCCTGTCCCCCAGGAGCCGTGTATAGATTTATGTATAAGCTGCACTGGGCAGCACGCCCAATGGATCCCTTCCCGCCACCACCTTGGTCGAGAACAATGCCATGTACTCCAAAGTTGCTCTAGTTCTAAATTGGATGGAGGTGTCTAGTGTAGAAATGTACCATTTCCACGTGAGAATTTTTTTTTCACCATTAGTTCCTTGTTGGTTAGGGTATGAAGCCATTCCATTTTAAAAAGGAACTTGAGTTTGGTTAAGAATAAAGTGAGTGTTGGACCGCCTGGCTGGTTCCAAACCTGAAGACTGGTTTTGCGGCCCACCGCTGCTATGATCATAGAGAAGCATCTATTAGGTATGGGGTCACCGCGTACGGGTCCCAACAGTAGGAAACTGGGATTAAATGGTATGGGCGTCATATTGTTCGTTAAGCATTGTGTAACCTCTCTCCAGAAAGTCTGGATCATGGGATTCTCCCACAGACAGTGATACATATCTGCTTTGTTATGGGTGCATTTAAAGCAGGTAGAGGAGTCCTTCCTTGCCATGAGGTGCAGTCGATGTGGCGTGAAGTATGCATAGTGTGTGGTTTTCAGGAACATGTCTCGAAACGAAACCATGGGGAGTAGTTGACTTTGAGTGTAGTGTGAGCTGAGGATGTTCTTAGGTGTGATGTCGGGGAAATGAGTCTTCCATTTCCCCAGACCCATTTTTAGTGTGTTCAAATCGGGTGTGTACAGTAGAAGGACAGAGGGTAGAGATGGAGTAAAATTCTGGGTTTGTGGTACATAAAAGATGATCCAGAGAGTTACTCCAGTCAGAGGGCGTGAGGGGTTTACTGACTTTGTAAAAATAATGTCGTATTTGAAAGTATGCATACCAGGGTATGGAAAGGTCTGGGAAGCACCTCCTAAGGCACCCCACGGTGAGAAATTTGTTTGTGTCAAAATCTACAAAGGAACTCAGAGACCCGAGACCCTGCCTTGACCACATTGTGAATGGGAATGTGCTGGATCCGTCCTGGAACTCAGGGTTCCGGAGCAGGGGTATGTGTATGGAGCATAGCGGGCTTGCCCCATGCTGGCCCGAGCCATCTTCCAGGCCTTAATCGTGACAGCCAAGAGAGGGTTTGAGAGAATGTCATCCGAAAGTAGGGAATATGGCTGCGACAGAAAGGATTCCAGGGCTAGGTCTGAGTATCGTGACTGCGATTGGATCCAATCGAGCGCATGCCGCAGTTCAGCCGCCATACTGTATTCACTGGCATTTGGGAGATTAAGTCCTCCATTGCATTTGGTTAGGTGATGTTTAGTTAGGCTCAGCCTGGCCCTCGACCCCTGCTAGAGGAAGTGCCTCAATTTTTGGTTTAGAAGGCATTCATCTTTTTTGAGAGTAAGACTGGGAGTACTTGAAGTGGGTATAGTAGATTTTTGAAACTAGCTAGTTTATAAAGATTGGCCTGCCCCATGTATGAGAGTGGCAATTTGTGCCAGTGTTCCAATTCATTAAAGATGGAGGAGAGAGCAGGAGGAATGTTCAGTTTAAACAGTTGGCCAATGTTTCTTGGGATCTTGATCCCTAGATATTGTAAGGCCGAGGTTTGCCATTTCAGTGGGACATCCCTTGGCAGCCTAGGAGGCGGTCCCCTCCCCAGATGTAGTGCACTGGATTTCGACCAGTTAACTTTGAGTCCTGCCAGGGCATGGAATTTGTCAAGTAGGTCAAGGATAGGTGGTATGGAGGAGGTCGGCTCTGAGGTATATAGAAGTATGTCGTCGGCAAAGGCCGAGGCCTTCAGTGACATCTCCCAATGGGATGCCCTTGAGGCCCGGCATTGATTCAATGGCTAGCAACAGGGGATCTATGGCTAGGTTAAATAATAGGGGTGATAATGGGCATCCCTGTCGTACCCCTCGTCCCAGCGTGAAATATGGGGAATCTAGTCCATTTGTTGTGATGCATGTGGTTGGGTTGTGCTGTAGGTTTTTAACAAAGGTCACAAAGATGTGCCCGAAGTAGCGCAGTTTGAGAATGCGTATCAAGTGTTGCCAAGTGATGCTATCAAATGCCTTCTCAATGTCGAGGCTGATAAGGGAAGATGAGGGGGAGCCCACCTTTCTCCCCATAACACCCGTCACAGCCGCCAACGCCCTCCGGACACCCATGACCATTTGTCTTCCCACCACGAACCCCAGTTGGTGACCCATGAGGGCCTCAGGTAGAAATGATTGAACTCTTGAGGCTATGATCTTAGTGAGGATTTTAAGGTCCAAATTGAGTAACGATATTGGGCGATAAGATGCCAAATCCACCGCATCCCTACCCGGTTTCGGTATTCGCACAGTACGTGCTTGAATAAGGGAGTCTATTTAGAGTGCTTTCAGATAGATTTGGTCAAAAAGGGCTTTAAGGGTGGGGCTGATCTGGTGTTTCAGAGTTTTATAGTATTCAGCTGTATAGCCGTCCGGGCCTGGGGCTTTACCCAATTTAAGAGAAGCGATAGCTATATGAATTTCTTTTTCAGTGATGGGGCCACTAAGTAGTTCCCGGGAGTCCTCGTCTATGTGGGGTAGGTTCAGATTTTTTAGGAAAGCCATACCCTGAGCATGTTGATCAGTCGGGGCTGTCGATATTTTTTTGAAGTAGTCATGAAAGGCTTTATTAATTTCTGCGTGAGCAGTGGACCGGATTCCCTCCGTTGAATTGATTGCAGTTATTGGTTTGAACCTGGTTTTAGGGTTGGCCTCATGATTCAATGTATGATAAATAACGACCCCTACACACTTCTGAATGTATATGGCCCACACGACAATCAGTTGGCCTATATCAACAAGATAATAGCAATGGTACAGAATGGCTATTTGGTTATAGGGGGAGACACCAACTTTATCCTGGATAACACCCTAGACACATCCTCCAATGACACTGTTACCCACACAACGACCCAAAAGCACACCAATATTGCGAATCAAATTAGGAACACAGTCCATACTGCGGGACTCCTAAAAAAAAAAAGGAGGGTATTACACCAATCCGAAAAAGATTTCACTTTTCATTCACAAGTCTATAACTCGTACTCTCGGATAGACAGGTTTCTGATACCCAACTCCTTGATTCTGAAAGTACAAAAGACCCATATAGGGTTGATAACATGGTCGGACCATGCCCCTATTCTCCTAACACTACATGAATGGTTCCCAAATAAAGGGCAAGGTACCTGGCGACTCAACGAGTCCCTGCTGAAAGTCCCCCACATAGTTAACCACATTGCGGAAGATATAAATACATATTTCGAAATAAACAATACTAGCGACTCTTCAGCAGAAATGATATGGCAGGCCCATAAGGCCGTAATTAGAGGAGCTTTGATCAAAGACGCCAGCTATGCGAAAAAACAAAGGACTGCCAACTATAACGACCTTATTCGACAGATAACGGAGCTCACTCACGCTAACAAACACAGCCCCTCACAAATACAATGGGACAAACTTAGAACACTGCAAACACAACTCAAGGAAATGGAGGTAGATAAAACTAACTATATTCTGCACAGATAATTTGGGATCAGTACTCGCAGCCAAGCTCAATGCACGCATGACTAACTCACGGGTAGCTTACCTCCTGACCCCAGACAAGCAGAAACTTATGAACCCGCAAGATATAGTGGAAGAATTCGCGCACTACTACAGAATGCTATATAACCTTGGAGAGGACAGTGCTACACATGTACCTACTGCGTCCCAAATTCAGGAATTTCTGAACAAAGTTAATCTGCCCAGACTCACAGACGTAGAAATAGAAATTATCACAAAACCGATCACAAACGCTGAACTGGCCAACATAATAGCAAAAGTGCCCTTGCATAAATTACCAGGGCCAGATGGCTTCACCAACCTTTATTATCAGACGTTTTCAGAGGCACTGACACCACACTTGACAAACCTCCTTAATCATTGCTTTAGCTCGGGTAACATGCCAACTGACATACTACAAGCACACATTTCAACGCTGCCAAAACCAGGAAAACCTGCCAATCTTTGCCAGAACTTTAGACCTATCTCCCTTCTTAATTGTGACGCGACGATCTATGCCAAGATCCTAGCGGAAAGACAAAAAGACATACTAATACGCATAGCCCATAATGACCAGTCAGGATTTGTTAAACAGAGGGTCAGATAACACCAGGAAAATACTTAATGTCATTGCTCACATGGAGACACACCAAATGGAAGGTCTTCTCCTAGTGCTGGATGCGGAGAAGGCCTTCGATAGGCTTAATTGGCATAACATGGAACAAGTTCTCTAAGTTTGGATTCCCAAAAGCTTTTGTTCAGGGAGTCCTGGCCCTATACTCGAAACCATCAGCCAGAGTAACCAATGCAGGCTTTGTGTCGAGCCCATTCTCTATTAAAAATGGCACGCGACAGGGGTGCCCGCTCTCACACCTGTTGTTTGTGCTCTCCCTAGAACCACTAGCATATGTGATACTACACCACTCAGACATCACGGGAATAACGATAGGCAAGACTGACTACAAAGTAGCTATGTTTGCAGACAATGTCCTCATATCCCTATCTCAACCGACAAGATCACTGCCACATCTTCTATATATACTAGAAGAATATAGCAAAATATCTTACTACAAACTAAACCAAGAAAAGACCCAGGCACTGCCATTCAGACAATCAACCCACATCGTCCAATCCTTAAAATCTTTTGACTGGAGACATGCCCACATCACTTATCTCGGGGGGGTGAAAATAGCAGCCACATACAGGGGCATAACTACACACAACCTCTCACTGCTCCCACAAATGTGCAGGCAACTATTGCATAAATGGGAAGATGTGTTGTTGACGTGGCTTGGCAGGATTAACACAATAAAGATGGTGGTCCTTCTGAAACTTTTATATGTTTTAAGAATGCTGCCACTGCCACTATCATCCTCACTTGGTAAGCAGATCCAAAAACTATTATCCGCCTATATATGGGAAAACAAAAAACTTGCCTTCCACTCACCCTTCCACAAAACCTCTGTGCTATTGCCCCAATCCCCAGTAAATATGGGAGGGGTAGGCGTCCCTAATATTATGAATTGCGATCCTCGAAACTGCAATTAAACTTCATGCCCCTAAGCTAACATTACAATGGGTAGACATGTGGACACCTAAACACTTGAGAGACAAAACCTCACAGTTCAGACATGGGACCACCTCCATAAATCACAAACGAATTACACCAATTTCATGCCATGGGCACCACTTACGGCACTAAACTCCATATTACCATGGTTATCCTTACACAAATGGAAAGATTTGTGTATCACCCGCATCAATGACATATGTACACAAGGGAATATCTTACCCTTTCCGGAACTGCAAAACAAATATACCCTGCCTCCATCCTTCATATTTCCATATGTCCAACTAAAGAGCATTATTGCAGATATGGCACAGAGGCCAACACACAACACATCTAGACCCAATCCTGAGCTACTCAAGATATATGATAGATGCCACAGATGCCACTAAAGTTAAGGCTAAATCTTTATCTCTAGGCGATGCTGCTCTGAGACATCACCCCCCAACGTCAGAGTTCACATTCAGAAGCCAATGGAGCAAGGAACGCCTGATGATTCTCACTGATGAGCAATGGCTGCAATCTCTTGCAGCATTGAAAGGCATAACATCCTGCTATTCACATGTAGAAGCCCACAGAAAGCTAATATACAGATGGTACTTCACTCCAGAAAGATTAAAAAAAATATACCCACTAACCTCGGACCAATGCTGGAGATGCGGTAGGGCCAAAGGCACTATGTGCCACATCTGGTAGGTAACGCCATGGGACTCAAACAAGGAGTGCTCACACCCGAGATAAGTCTTTTCCTGTTGTTCCCCAAACAAATCCCCCTACAAGATAGGCAATTATTAGTGCTAATGATAATGGCGGCACATAACATTGCTTGCCATTGGAAACAAAAAGCATGCCCATCACCAACACTGCTGAATCACAAAATGTGGCAATACCTTAAATACGAGACGTTGACCACATCCACACCCAACATCACCCACAACAATTGGCTAAAGTGGTGCAATCACACGATGCAATTAGAGAACCCCCATGCTTCCCAGGAAGCTGCTGGAGCACCTTCCCAAAGGGATATGGGTGAGGAATGAAGTATAAAGGAACAAAGACAGAAGCACAATACACCATAGCTTAGGGCTAGACACAACGATAAGGGATGTAT